TGCGACTGCGACTGCGACTGGGACTGGGACTGCGACTACTACGACTACTACGACTACTACGACTACTACGACTGCTACGACTACTACGACTACTACGACTACTACGACTACTACTAATTGCCAGCCAATACTTATTCATAAGGATTACCAATGCCGGCATTGCACCTAGGCCGCAGCCTCTTCGACTTCGTGACTTCTTTGCCGGGCTACGGCAACGCCACCCGCTTCTTCGACTCCTCGGCGCGCTATGGGGGTTGAGGGTTTCGGGGCTTGAGGGTTCAGGATTTAAAAAGAAAGTTTGTGACAATTTAGGAGTTTTGGAGCTTCGAAGTTTAGGAGTTTAGAGTTTAGGGGTGGTGGGGGTGGTCTGATTGCTGTGTGATGGGCTTAAGCCTGCGCCCGGAATCTCAAGTCTCGCTTGCCGCACTGTCGTCCTTTAGTTAAGCGTTTCGCCTGATGCAAATATGCAGCAAATCCCGCAACATCACAAGCAATGGCACGGCAACCACTCGAAAAGAAGTCCCCAAATATCCTCGCATGCTGCTGCAGTCGTCCTACGAATCCTATCTCCAGAGCAAAGACTACGGCTTCACGGATGCCACGCCAGGGCGGCCTGGACTTTGTTTCAGGCTGAGCGATCATAGTCTGCAGGTAAAAGAACAGAGATCCGGGATATTGGGTGGTAAGTCTAAAAGCAGAGCCAAAACAGTCTCGAAGTAATTCGCCAGTTCGAGCCAAAAAGGGTCGCATAGGATGTCTACATGCGAACCATACATGTTCAAAGTCAGCAATCGTAGCGGATCCGGGCCGCCGCGGCGGTGTCAGGGCTGTCGTGTTTTTTCGCGGAAGGCCCCGAGACTCGACCCTAAACTCGAAAGCCTTGATAACCCCAAGCCTAAACAGTTTAGGGTTTGGGGTTTAGGGTTTAGGGCGCGGGGTTTGGGGTTTAGGGTTGGGGTTTAGGCTTTGGGGTTCAGAGTTTAGGGTTGCAAATCCTCTATCCCTTAGCTTCCAAACCCCCGAGAGTCAATTGAGCACTTTGAGGAGCCCTAAAACCCTAAACCACTAAACCTCCAAACCCCAAGCCCTAAAACCCCTAAGCCCTAAACCCCTAAACCCCTAAGCCCTAAAACCCCTAAGCCCCAAACCACTAAACCCCTAATGTGGATTTTCGTCCCGAAAACCTTTAAGCAACCTTTTGTGCCCAGGTGACCGCGCCCGCGGCCATCGGCTCAAGGGAGCACTTGTGTGCTTAGGGTCTGCCGGCTTAGAGCCTCGTGAGCTACGGTGTGCGTGGAAGAAACAATCCGCGCTTGTGTTTACTGTGATCGGACTTCGTGCGCCGCTTATCTGCCTATCGGTTGCAACCAGCTTTCTTCAAGTTGGTAGCGTGAGCCGGCTTCCCCGGTCCGCTGACCACTTCTACTGCAAGTGCTTCTGGGCCCTCACTTTTACCTGGTCTGGTTCATTATCCCTGGATTGGGTTGTTCTTGGTTGTGCCGTAATGTCGGGCGCAGCCACTGCCGTAGCCACGGCGGGTGCTGATGCCTTGCGTGACAATTTTATTCCTTTGTTCGATGGCAAACCGTCTTCTTACAAAGAGTATCGTCAGCGCCTGTTGCTCTACCAGCGAAAAATGAAGCTGCAAAAGAAGGCCGCCGAGGCTACCACCAACTTGCTGACAAGCCTTACTGGCATTGCTTGGCGCCAGGTGGAGCACTTGGCTGAGACAGCGCCAGATGCCTCAGATGGCTTCGAGCAGGTGTTGCAGGCCCTGGACCAGGCTTTCAAGTACGACTCGCGAGTGGAGGTATTTTTACGGTGGGGCACGCCGCCCCGATCAGTCCCTTTTGGCTTATTGTGCTGACCACCGTGAGGCGTTGAGGGAAGTCCAGAAGCATGGGATCAAAATCCCACCTGAAGTGGATGGATACATCTTGCTTCGCCGTTCCGGCTTGACGAATGAACAGAAGCAGTTGATTCAATCCCAGGTTGGGGCAGACATGTCTGCCAGCAAGGTCGAGGAGCACATGTACTTTTTGCTTGGCCAGGATTACAAGAGTGCTGTTCGTCAGCTGGCCCCGGCAAAACATGGATGGAACCGCTTTGCTCGACCAGGCTCATCTTCAGGAGTATGGCGTCGAGCTACGGGTCACGCCCATGCTGCTGAGGACGAGCTCGGCGAAGAAACCTGGGAGGATGAGCCCAACTACGCTGACTACGCCTATTATGAGGACGAGGCCTGGGAAGCAGACGAGCCGACGGTTGAAGAAGCCGATGGTGATGCAGAACAGGCCCTTTATGAGGACGAGCCCACTGAGGAAGATGAGAATCTAGAGGAGGCATATGCTACATACCTTGATGCTAGGAAGCGCCTGGCTGAGGTGAAAGCCAGTCGTGGGTATTATCCTGTTGTTGCCCTTGTGCCTGGCTCCGAGCCGAGTTCCTCACAGCTTCCTTTGTCTTACTCGAATGCCGCCTCTAAGGGGAAAGGTAAGGCTAGGGGTTTTAAGGGCTCAGGTGCGACAGGTGCCAAGGCGACAGGTAAAGGCTCGGGTTTTAAAGGGCCCACTGCTATTGCGCGTGCCAAGGCCGCTCAGCAGTGTTTGCGCTGCGGACAGTACGGCCACTGGGCATCGCAATGTCCTTCACCTGCCAACGCCTCTTCGCCTAACCCCGGCGTTTCCACCAAACGAGCTCGTGAAGGTGCTGCCCACGTCGTCTCGTCCACTGCGTCCGTTCACGTGTGTGCTGCCTCGCCTCTTGTGGCTGGAGGCTCGTTGCCCGTGCGCGTGCCAAATCGTTCGTGCATTTCGTTTGAGTGTGCCGTCTCGCCTCGTGTGGCTGGAGACTCACCGCCCGTTTGCGTGCCGGATCGTGTGCTGCATTCCTCCGTCACGTGCCTGACAGGTGCCGCCTTCGCCGTTGACTCGTCAGGTCCACCTCCCTTGTTTGCCCAGCAAGATGGCGGTGCATCTGCTATGTTAGGTGGCCACAGGCCTGTCATGGAGGCCATTGAGCACTTGATCAGCCGAGGTGTGCCCGAAAGTCGCTTTGAGTTTTCTCGTGTGGACAAGACGTTTCGTTTTGGTGGCGATGCCTCGGGCCATGCCAGTTGGGCAGTACACCTGCCTGTTGTGATTAGCCGCGTCCCCGGCCGTTTGCAGACCTTCATTGTCGAAGGCGACACGCCGATCCTCATCGGACGTCCTGCTAAGGCTCTCCAAGTAAAAACCGACTTCGAGCGGGACCTGTGCAGTGTTTTGGGAGCTGAGTTCAGCGCTGCCACTCTGGGGGAAAGGGGTGAGTTCCTCTTACGCCTGGACGATGGCCTTGATGAAGATACTCTCCTGCAGCCACTTGCTTTTGATCTGATGACCGATGAGATCGCGACTGAAATGTCGGCTACAGCCGCTCCTTCCTTCAACACCTTGTCTGAGTACCTTGCTGATACAGGCCGTCCTGGACCTGAAGTTGCCCACACCGTGGTCTCAAATACAGGGGCCAAAACTGGACCCCCACAAACCCCCATTTTGGAGCCGAAACTGGGGGTTTGTCCGGGTGCACCAGACCATGCGTTGGGCCAGTCAGTAGCTGTCGATACTGACTTCTGCTTGCCTATCCCAGCGAAGCTTTTCAAGTCTCTCGAAATTGCTGCCCGCCAGGCTGCGAATGCCGAGAACTCAGTGATTGAGCAAGCCCTGTGGACTTCTCCGTCAACTCCTATGGTCTTTTGGGAGCTCTACTCAGGTGACGCGGGCCTTTCCCAGGCTATGGAACAGCTCGGTTTTCAGGTTCGCACCTTTGATCTTCCCGAGTGGGACTTCACGAAGGCTCGCCACCGCAGCCGCCTGTTGGATTTGTATGAGAGTGAGCGCCCTCATGTGGTGTGGCTAGCCCCTCCATACCATAAGTGGAGCCCCCTTCAGGAGCTGACATCTCGAGATGCCGGTCAGCAAGAGCTGCTTGACATTGAGCGGTGCCGTCACCATGCCAGTCACCTCCGCCTGTCACGGCGTCTCTTTCGCCTTCAGCTCGCTGCTGGCCTTGTCGCTGTCATTGAGCACCCTCTCAAAAGCCGTGCTTGGACGACCCCGGCCTTCAGCACACTTGGTGGTTACCAGGTTGTGATTGATCAGTGTGCTTTTGGGGCATGTTTGCCAGACGACAAAGGACGCCTACAGCCCATTAGGAAACCGACCCGTCTGCAGGTGACCACTCTTGCCCTGCAGGAGGCCTTTGCACCCTGCCACTGTCCAGGCCACCGCTTTCATTTGCCAGTTGTAGGCTTCTCTCCTCGGTTTGGCTCCCGTGCCGCTGGCGATTATCTACATGCCATGTGCTGTCACATTGCCGTCATTTTGCAGCATGCTTTGTTGGGTGCCGTCAGTGTGTCCCCTGTAGGCACAACCTCGGATACCGCCTTTGTTCAGGGTGACGGCACCGGGCCCGATGGTGACGATTTGGGCTCGGTCCCTGAGCCTGCTGAGTCGGCTGCTCCCGCAGCCCCTCGACACCACAACAGTGGTGTTCTGCAACGCCTCTTGGAGGAAAGACCGGCCGAGGCCAAGCGCATTGCTGCGCGACTTCATAAGAATTTGGGGCACCCGTCTGCCGAGCAGCTTGTACACCAGTTGCGTGCCCGTGGCGCATCGCAGGCTCTTGTTGAGGCGGCCCAGGCTCATGTGTGTCCCGTGTGTGCTCAGCTGGCTGCCCCAGCTCAAGCTCCAAAGTCGGCTCTTCGAAGCGCCAGTCGGCTGAATGAGCGATTGCTTGCTGATACCATGTGGGTCACCCTGCCGTGTGGGAAGACTGTTCCGGTGCTGTCTATGATGGATGCTGCCACTCGTTACTTGGTTGCCCGGCCTCTTCACACAGAATCGTCTGAGCAGTTCCTCCGTGCGTTGGAGCGCGGTTGGATCAAGCTCTTTGGTGCTCCAGCCGCCTTGCAGGTTGATGCGCATCCTTCGTGGTGCTCTGCGTCGGTGCGGGATTGGGCCACTGAGCACAGCATTGAGTTGATGATTAGCCCTGGTGAGGCTCACAGCCGTTTGGCACAAGTGGAGCGCCGCCACCAAGTCCTTCGTCGTGCCATTGACGTTTTCCTTGCCAGTGCTCCTGGTGATGGTGATCTCGATGCTTTGCGTCAGGCCTTGGACTTTGTTGTTCCTCAGCTTAACCGCACGGTGTCCGTTCAAGGTTTCTCTCCAACTCAGTGGGTCTTGGGTTACCAGCCTGAACTGCCCGGTTTTCTTCTGGATGAGCGTGTGAATCCGAGCCACCTGGATCCCTCTGAGTCGTTTCGCCACGGACTTGAGTTGAGAGCTCTAGCCTCCAAAGCCCTCACCGAGGCTGATACGGATGAGCGTCTGCGGCGGGCCTTATTGCGTCAGACTCGGCATTCCAAGGCTGTGTTTCGTGTTGGCCAGCGCGTTTTCTACTACCGGGATGGCTCTGGAGTTGGGCCACGCATCCGCTGGAAAGGCCGCGCAATGGTTGTGATGATTGAGCCGGACAGCCGCACTGGCCGTCAAAGCGTTGTCTGGATAACTCATGGTGCCCAGCTCCGCCGAGCTGCCCCGGAGCATCTTCGTACTGACATGTTGGATGTCCCCCTTTCCTCTGAGTCTCCGGGCCAAGCGCTGGATTCTCTTCGTGGCCGTGGCACCACTACCTACTTGGACCTAAATCGTGTCAACCGTCGCTCGAGAGATGATATAGTGTCCGATGATGAAGCTGAGGAGCCCGATGCTAAGTTGCCGCGTCTGGCTGGTCCTCTCTCTCTGGAGCTTCCCGGCACCTGATACTGATCTTGAGGAGTATGAGCTTTCCGAGCCAAGCGTGCAAGACGAGGCCATGCAGCCTCAGCTGTCGATGCCACCCTCTGTTGCCGAGCCGGGCGGTGAGCCGGACCCGGTCCAGGATCAGCTTCACCCGACCTTTGCCTCGCCCGCTGCTGGCCTTGAAACCTTTCAGCAGCGCCGTGCCCGAGTCGATCGTCAGGAGACCATCTCCTATCAACCTCCGGCGGCCGAGCTGCATCCTGCGTTTACTCCTCCACGTGCCCCCGAAACTTTTCAGGAGCATCGCGCCCGAATCGATCGTCAGGAGACCATCTCCCATCGAGTTCCGTTTTACGGTCCGACTCGGCCAGTCACTGCCCGCACTACGCCTTACGCTCCTGACCGGGCCTCTGCTTCGGAGGCCGCTTTCGCCTGTGACGTGCTTCCTGAATCTGGCGTTCGCCTTCCCTGTGGCTGGACCTATAACGCTGAAGGATATCTTTCCCTTGGCGCCATCGCTGACCAGTGGGAGCTTTCCGGCCGGCATCTGGTGCGTCGACACTTTGTCGCCCGCTCCTCCTTGTTTTCTCCTTCTTCCCCCGGTGACTGCCCGGTCCCCGTGCAGATGCTTGTTAAGGGTCGTACCACTTTTCGTGGCAACCATCGCCACGATGATCGTTGGCGAAGTCGTTCTGTTGCTGAGCCGACGGGCCGAAGTGACGATGACCAAGTCCTGTGGACTGGCCGCACTGTCTTCAAAATCCAGCCCCGTTTTGTTGAGGAGGCTCGTGCTGCTTTTGTCGCTGCGTCCGGCGGCCACACTACGCACGCGGCTCCTGTCCGTAAAGACAACTTGAGTGAACGCACCATGGGCTTGAGCGACCTCTTGAGTTTCCAAGAAGCCAAGCGCAGAGAACTTTCCAGTTTCTTTCAGAACTCTGTGTGGGAGTTTGACACAGAGAGCAGTGCTCCAGCTGGCCGCATTCTTAAGGCACATTTCATTCTGAAGTGGGGCAAACATCCGGATGGTTCGCCACGAGCCAAGGCGCGCCTCATCACCCAAGGTTTCAAAGACCCTGATGCCTTGAACGGCCTGGTTGACCGCACCTCTCCTACCTTGACCCGCCTGGCTCGTCATTGCATGCTATCCCTAGCTGCCACCTTGGGGTGGGATGTCTCCACCGGTGATATCACCACAGCCTTCTTGCAAGGCAAACCTTACGATGGCCAGCGTACGTTGTGGATTCGGCTACCGGCCGATGCTCGCAAGATGCTCGGATTGACTGATGCCAAGGTTGTCATGCGCCTGCTCAAGCCCATCTACGGGCTGGTCGACGCTCCACGAGCGTGGTATCGCGAAGCATGCAGTCGTCTTGAAGCGCTGGGCTTTAAGCGTCATCCTCTGGACCAGTGCCTTTTTCTTTACTTTGACGATTCTAATTGTCTGGTCTTGGCTGTGGGCCTGTACGTAGACGACTTGCTATGTATAGGTGATGGTACTCGCAAAGCTTGTTGTGATGCCAAGGCTCGCCTCAAAGACACTTTTGCATTCCGGGAGTGGCACGAGGGCGAGCGTTCAGTGGAGTACCTTGGCTCGCAAATTGAGTGCCTGCCCGACGGCAGCACCAAGTACCATCAGGCTAAGTACCTAGCCAAGCTTCACCCGATCACCGTTGACAAGGTCAGGGCTGCCTCTCCTGAAGAACCCGTTACTGAGAAAGAGCGCACAAAGCTCCGGGCCCTCCTTGGTGGACTCCAGTGGGCTGCCACACAGTCTACTCCTCACCTGCAGCCTCACACCTCAATGTTGGCTGGCCAAACCACCAAGGCCACTGTTGCCACCCTTGTGGCCGCCAATAAGGCCCTTCGTTTTGTCAAAGCTAATTCTGATGTTGGCTTGTGCTATCAATACTTGGGCCCCTTCTCGGACCTTGTGCTGGTGGCATACAGTGACGCTTCCTTTGCGTGCCGCGCCGACTTGTCGAGCCAGGGAGGGTGCCTTGTGACTCTGTGCCACAAGGATGCCATGCAGAAAGGCACGGCTTGTGCCTATCACGTGTTGGACTGGCGCTCCTTTCGCCTGCCTAGGGTTGCTCGCTCCACCCTGTCGGCGGAGGGCCAGGCCGCCGCTGAGGCAGCAGATGCTTTGTACTTCACCTCCCTGTTTCTGAAGGCTTTCTTTGAGCCTGGCTTGGACTTGGCCTCACCTACTGCAGCAAGACTTGAGCACCCGTCGGCCCTCGTTGTTGATGCTAAAGCACTTTACAACCTGCTGGTCAAGGATGAACTGCAGACCGCCCTTGGCGCTGAGAAGCGCACGGCTGTCGAGGTGCTGGTGACGAAGCAGAAACTTCGAGAAGCAGGTGCTACTCCTCGTTGGGTGAGTTCTGAGCGTCAGCTCGCTGATGGGCTTACAAAGGAAAGTGCCACCCAGTTACTCGCTGACCGGCTGCGCACTCACAAGAATCGTCTGACGGATGACCTCAGCTACGAAGCTGCCCGAAAGAAAGATCCGGAGCGTCGCCAAGCATCGGCTCAGGAGTTTGCTCTCAGTAGGCCTCAGGCCACTGCCTGTACGACTTCGGTTGTGTACTTTGCTGCTGCTGCAGCCATTTGTAACCCCGACAGCTGCCGCAGTGCCTCTCAACGAACAAGCAAGCTTGGTTCCTGCGCCAGCCTTCCCGGACTGGTTGATTTAGTGCTGGTTTACTTCACCGTGCTAGTTGGGTTGGTAGTGCTTAGGTGCCTGTGGTTCCCATGCTGGGTTCCTCGTGTCTCTCCGCGCCCCGTGTTGCGCGACCGAGCTGTGCAAACCTCCACCGGGCACTGCGATGACAGTGCACAAACCCTGACCGACAGTGAACATCGCAGTGTCCAGACCGAAGCAGACGCTGCGAACCGTAGCACCCAGACCGAAGCAGTTGACACGGAACACCGGAGCACACAGACTGAAGCCGCTGAAGGCCGCTGCCCCCTGTGTGGCGCGACTCTGCCTTCGGTGACCGTGCCGTCTAGTGCTACCTCACACCTGCAGGTTGCAGATCGCCGGGTCTCATTGCCAAGCAATTTCACCCAGGTGTCGGTTGTAGGTGGTGAGGTTTTAGGTAGGTCCCGGTACCCTAAGACCCAAGCCTCCCAAGCATCCGTGCAGACTGTCCAGGGCGCCGCGCAGACAGACATCTCGCTGACGCCCCGTCAGGCCACTCCTCCGGTTGTGCCTCCAGCGGCTCCCCCGCAGGATTCGGCAAGCGATCGCAATGTGCCCATACCACACCGGGTCGATCCAAACGACCGCGCATATTTCACCCCTGCTGGTGAGGTGTGGCACTTCATGTCAGGGTGCGCTCGTCAGCGCACGACCTCCCGCGTCTCCTCGCTGCGGCCATGCCAGTTCTGCACCACGGGCTGTTCGTTGCCGAGGTTGAGGCACATGCGTGATCGCCAGGGTGGCCACTGACCCAGCTGCCGTTGATGCATGATTTTCCACTTCCTTTTGGGATGTCCACTTTTATAGCACAGGTGGGTGGATCAATCTTGGAACCTCCACCGGTGTGGATTTTCGTCCCGAAAACCTTTAAGCAACCTTTTGTGCCCAGGTGACCGCGCCCGCGGCCATCGGCTCAAGGGAGCACTTGTGTGCTTAGGGTCTGCCGGCTTAGAGCCTCGTGAGCTACGGTGTGCGTGGAAGAAACAATCCGCGCTTGTGTTTACTGTGATCGGACTTCGTGCGCCGCTTATCTGCCTATCGGTTGCAACCAGCTTTCTTCAAGCCTAAGCACTAAACCCCAAAACCCCAAAGCCCTAAAGCCCTAAAACCCTAAAGCCCTAAGCCCTTATAGATCCCTTTAAAGGAACCCTTACAGATCCCCCTTTAAAGGAACCACTAAACCCGTAAGCCCTAAACCCTGATCCGAGCCAAGGCTCTTCGGGGCCTTGGAGGCCGCACAGCGCGGGAAGGGGCTTTCGGAATCTTCGAAAAGGTTGCTCTTAATTCTTATCGGTTTTGGGGTTTAGGGTTTATCGGTTTTAGGGTTTAGGGTTTAGCGGTTTAGCGGTTTAGGGGTTTAGGAGTTTAGGGGTTTAGGGGTTTAGGGGCTTGGGGTTTAGGGTTAGGGCTTCCCCTTGCAGTATCTAGCTAGTGGTTGACGCGCCTATATTCGACCTTCTAAAACCCCCTACAATCCTTAAAGCACCCCAGAAACGACATAGCTAACCCTAAACCCTAAACCTTAAACCAATTGAATCCTGCGGACGGAAAGGGGGGATCAAAAAAAACAGCACACCTTCGACCTTACGCCGAGCCCTCAGCCAAAAACCCGAAGCCACAAAACCCCAGAACCCCGAAACCCCAAGCTCCCTAGAGCCCCCAAGCCGAAAAGACGCCATCGATTTAGGGCTTAGGGTTTTAGGGTTTTAGGGTTCTAGGGTTTGGGGTTTTAGGGTTTTAGGTTTTTAGGGTTTTAGGGCTTAGGGTACCAGTAGCTGTCGATTTTTGTGAGGTGAAATCCGCCGCGGTCTGCCCCAAGGACTTGGAGACTCGTCAGGCTCCGGGAATTCCGAGGCTTGTTTAAGGCTCAACGTTTTAGGGTTTCGGGTTTTGAAGGTTGTAAGGGTTTTTTGAGGGTTTAAGGGTTTAGGCTTTTGAAGGTTTTCAGGGTTTGAAGTTTTAGGTTTGAGGGTTTATGGGTTCAGGGTGTTTAGGGCTGTGGTGTTTAGGGTTTTAAGGGTATTTCATTTGTTTCAGGGTTCAGGGTCCAGATCTTTCGCGATAGGGCTTGGGGTTTAGGGTTTAGGGATTTAGGGGTTTAGGGTTTGGGGTTTAGGGTTTAGGGTTTGGGGTTTAGGGTTTAGGGTATACTTCGTTCCCTAAGCTTTGTCAAGCATGCTGCACTACAAGGGGTAGTCCCTAAGCCAAAGCCATAAAAGCCCTAAGCCCCAAATCCTGAAAAAAAGAAGGCCACTCCTTAAAACCATCAATGGGAAAGCGCAGCCTTTCTAAACCCCAGACCCTGGAACCTGACCACCCTACCACCCTTAAAAGCCTTAGCCGTATAAAGAACCACCCACCGCTCGCAAAACCCCTTACATGACGGGAAAAAGGGGTAGTCTTGAATAAACCCTAAACCCTAAACCCTAAATCCTAAACCCTAAGCCGTGAAAAACCCCAAGCTCTAGCGAGAAAGAAGCCCCTGATCCCCAAGTACCGATCTGTTGTGTGGGTCTCATTCGGTTCTAGCCCGAGATAAGAGCCCCAATACCTAATACCTGCAATGAAAGGCAGTCCCTAAAGCACCGGAAACCCCAAACCCTAACCCTAACGCCTTAACGCCTTTATTCCTGAAGCCCTATAGCCTAAATTCCCTAAACCCTACATAGCCTATAACGCCTTACACCCCAAACCCGAAAGCCCCCTGACCTTCGAGAGGCCGACTTCGACTGGGAAGTGGAAGAGGGGCCGGAAGGCTGCAGATTTTCCACGGTTTAGGGGTTTGCAAGCGTTTTAGGGTTCAGGGTTTTAGGGTTCAGGGTTTTAGGGTTCAGTTAAAGGAAGCTACAGGTGGGGAGTTCAGGGTATATAGGGGGCTTCTATACGGTGCATAGACCTTCTATAAAGTCTATAAAGCTCCTATAAGGGGAACTACCCACTTGAAAATGTCCTAGACTCAGGGTTAAGGGCCCCTCAGAGAGAGCCAGGGCCTGAGAAACCTCCACAGGACCCAACTCGCAGGCTCCTTGTCCACATGCTTTCAAGGGTTATTGTTCTTGGTGTCGCTACAGTTTTGATTGTTATTAGTACTGCTATTTTGTTTATGATGATGTTTATAGTGCTGGTTTCGATGGTGATGGTGACGATTAAGATGATGATTGCTGGTACTGTGGTTATTGTTATTGTGATGAGGATGGTTATCGTTATGATTATCATTATGATTACTGCTCCTATGAGTCTTCTGATTATTGTCGCTATTGTTGTTGCTGTGGTTATTACTTGTTGTGATTGCAAGTCTGAGTATGATTATGCATACTGTTATGGCTATTGTTTTCCATTGGTTGTCATTGTGATTCCAATGGTTAGCTTGCATTGGCTGTCACACGGACCCTAAACCCTAAACCCCAAACCCTAAACCCTAAACCCCAAACCCTAAACCCTAAACCCCAAACCCTAAACCCTAAACCCTAAATCCCTAGACCCCTAAACCCCTAAACCCTAAACGGCTTTCCTGCAAGGCAGAGGCTCCGAACTCCGACAGCTCGAGGCCCGCCTCCCTCCCCAAGCAGCTCAACTGCAGTGCTTTGAGCTCCCGAATCACGGGCTTAGGTGTCCTTTAGGTTCCGTTTAGGGCTCCAGTGTTCTAGGGTTTAGGGTTTTGGGGTTCTGGGTTCAAGGTGGAGGCAGTTAGCAGTTCCATGAGCATTCGTGACTGCCGTTGAATCATGATTGCATGAGCCGTCCTGCTTTGTCTTTCCCTGTGGGAAAACCAAAGAGCCTTGGTTGTATCTCCATAGAGCCCCTATTGTAGAGCCCCGATTATAGAACCCCAAATTCTAGCCGTAGTAGCTCATGATGTGACGTCCGAGTGCTCGGGTATGATGTCCTGCCCGTTCCTCGGAAGGGCCCCCGTCGAAAAAAGCGGGACTCTTTCGCGACTGTCGTTAAATCTTTCGGGGTCTTCCAAACAAGGATGGCGCTTTTAGGGTGTGCCCTGAAAGTCAGCTTAGCGAAGCCCTCGCCCTAAGGCTCCAAGGACTCATATTTTAAGGCTTTTGGGCTCAAAGACCATACTATATAAGGCTGTTGGGCTAATTTTGAGCCTTAGGGCTTCTGTTTCAGAATCCCTTCGACCCCAGGGCGGGCCTTAGTTCTAGGTGGAAGCTGGCGGCTGCACCGGCGACTGGGATGTCGTCATCCACCTGAACATGTCGGGACCTTCGACCTCACTTGCGGACATCAAAGGAGATACTCAGCCTCCGTTGTTGTTATCGTTGGGGTTTAGGGTTTAGGGTTTGGAGTTTAGGGTTTAGAGTTTAGAGTTTAGGGTTTAGAGTTTAGGGTTTAGGCTTTAGGGTTTAGAGTTTAGGGTTTAGGGTTTAGGGTTTAGGGTGGGATCCTATAAGGTAATACTTTAATGCTGCTTTCAGGGACTACTCGATGAAGATAAGGATTGCTAACACTTTCGAGAAGAAGTTACTGTAAGGTTACTATACCGGTGCTACTACAAAGGGTAGTATAAGGCTGCTGTGCGAGTACCCTGCAGGGCAGCGTTTCTTGGCTCTTCCTGGTCATCAAAGCGGTCCACCTGCAGCGTAAGGGCTACAACTACGACCTAAACCTAAACCCCAAACCCTGAATCCTAAGCCCTAAACCCAACCTCTAAACCGTAAGCCCTAAACCCTAAACCCTAAACCCTAAACCCTAAACCGAAGCTCTAAGGTAAGTGCTACCCATCGGAAGCCTGAACCATGGGTTTTCGGTTTGGGGATCCGAGCCCTGAACCCCCTGCGCGCAGAGTTAGGAGTTGGGAGTTTAGGAGCGTGCTTATCCTCATTATTATCATTCGGATGATATCATGCTTACTATTTTCATCACGACTATTCTTCTTGCTGTTAGTATCCTCATATTGGTATGATTATGAGATGCCAGATTGGAGGCTTCAGGGCTGCAATGAGAGGAGCCGCAGACATCAATGTGAAGCTGATCCCAGAGGCTGGATCTGCACTTCTAGCCGTTAATCTGCCGTGCTGCAAATCCCTTCAGATATGTTGAGGAGTCTGGGCCGCCCTGCATGCTGCTGCTGCCGCTGCTGCTGCTGCTGCTGCTGCTGCTGCTGCTCCGGAATGGCTTGTGTCATCCCTTCCGTGACTTTGTTCGAATGGCGTCGCAGGTGAACAAGCTGCAGCGTGGACTCAGTTGGACAAGCTCCCGAGTCTTATGGTCTGGAGGCCGGGAGAGGTGCTTCTAAGGTGATAGTACCTTTAAGCGCTCCTTCAAGGGTTTCACAGGGTTCCTTGAAGGGGCC